GGATATGGGTATCCATACGGAAAAGATGGCCTCCCTGCTGGTCCAGGCACTGGTGGAGTTGCAGGTGGTGGTTTTGGAGGTGCTGGATCTCCTTATGGAATGGATGGTTTTTCAGCTGGAGCAGGTGCTGGTGCAGGGGGAGTTGGGGCTCCCTATGGAAAGGATGGTCTCCCAGTGGGAGCAGGTTTTGGTGCTGGTGGTGGAGCTGGTGCAGGGGGAGTTGGGGCTCCTTTTGGAAAGGATGGTCTCCCTGCTGGACCAAGCATTGGTGAAGCTCCAGATGGTGGTTTGGGAGGTGTTGGATCTCCATATGGAATTGATGGTTTCCCAGCTGGAGCCAGTGCTGCTGGTGCAGGGGGATTTGGATCTCCATATGGAAAGGATGGGGTCCCTGCTGGGGCTGGTGTTGGTCCTGGTGGTGCTGGTGCAGGGGGATTTGGGTCTCACTATGGAAAGGATGGTCTTCTAGTTGGAGCAGCTGTTGCTGCTGGTCCAGGGGGAGTTGGGGTTCCCTATGGAAAAGATGGTCTCCCAGCTGGAGCTGGTGTTGATGGGGCTGGTGGTGCTGGTACAGGGGGAGTTGCAGCTCCCTATGGAAAGGATGGTCTTCCAGTTGGAGCAGGTGTTGGTGGTGCTGGTGTTGGTGGTGCTTGTGTAGGGCCATTTGGGTCTCTCTATGGAAAGGATGGTCTTCCAACTGGGGCTGGTGCTGGTGGTGCTGGTGCAGGGTCAGTTGGTTCTCCCTATGGGAAAGATAATCTCGCAGATGGAGCAGGTGGTGTTGGTGTTGCTGGTGGTGGAGGAGGAGTTGGTTCTCCCTATGGAAAGGATGGTCTTCCAGCTGGAGCAGGTGGTGTTGATGTTGCTGGTGGTGGAGGAGGAGTTGGGTCTCCCTATGGAAAGGATGGTCTTCCAGCTGGAGCAGGTGGTGTTGGTGGTGGTGCAGGAGGAGTTGTGTCTCCCTATGGCAAGGATGGTGTTCCAGCTGGAGCTGGTGCTGGTGGTGCAGCTGGCGCAGGAGGAGTTGTGTCTCCCTACGGGAAGGATGGTGTTCCAGCTGGAGCTGGTGCTGGTGGTGCAGCTGGCGCAGGAGGATTTGTGTCTCCCTATGGCAAGGATGGTGTCCCAGCTGGGGCTGGTGTTGGTGGTACAACTGGTGCAGGAGTTGGCTCTCCCTATGGAATGGAGGATCTCCCAGCTGGGGCTGTGGCAGGAGCTGCTCATTTTCCATTTGGAGGTGAGGGAGCAATGGGATCTCAGCGTGGCTGGGACAGTGGGCTGTGCAGAGCTCCGGGATATCCAGGTGGAGCAGGAGGAGAGGGTTTTTCCATGGAAGGTGGGGGTGTCGGTGGCTCCGCAGTGTGGGGCGCTGGGACTCCCTGTGGCAAGGACATGGGATCAGCTGGAGCCTGGGCTGGTGCAGGTGCTGTTGGGAGGTTGGGAGGCAATGAAAGGAATTCATTCCTTGGTAAAGGAGGTGTGGGAGATGGTGGTGGACCAGGTGGTCAATATGGAAAGGGCATCGCCAGTGATGTCAGAGGATTAAGGAACCAAGGTTCAGCTGATGACAGAGAGTCACTGTCAGGTCAAGGAGATGTCAGGGGTGAGGGTAGAGATTTAGGAGAGTTGGGCTCCCTTTATGGCAAAAGTTCTGCCTTCGGAGGGGCAGGGAGTAAATCCCATAACAGACCTGCTGATGGGAGTAGTTCAGACAGCTTTTTTCAAGGTCCACCGAGTCAAGGCCAGATGTCAGGTCTTTTTGGTGGACTTCCTCCAATAAGCCAGAGGAATGAGGAACCTGACTTGGAAATTAAAGCAAAGGATCTCCCGAACAATACGGAAAGTACGACCCAAAAAAGACGGTCTTGCCTGGATGATCTCAAAGGTTGGTGGTTCAGTGGTTCATTGATGACTTTGCATTTGGATTCTTACATTCTTGATCCTGCAAAGAATGGAATTTTATTTTTAGTCAGAAAAATAGACTTCTGTGTAGAAATCTGGTTGTGATCCCTTCCTAATTCTCCCATGATTTGCTGTTTATCTTACACAACTTGCTCTGATCAAATTGTCTTCAATATTTAAATGATCTTTGCTTAAATGATCTAAATCAGATCTCATCTGTTCATTCACATACGTTTTACATCCATGTGGAACCGACTGATTCCCGTAAAATTTTAAGGCATATCACTGTGTTTCTTTGATATTGTTGTAATTTAAAACTTGTTGCTAATTTAAAAATATTTTTTCTAACATCTAGTGCAAAGAACTGTGGTTTTCCAATTTCTGGGAACAATTCTTTGCTTCTATTTGATTCTATTTAATTGGGCCTAATGTAAAGTGCCTGCTTATACTGGATTATATAATGTAAAGATCTCTTTTCTCTTGTAACATCATAAATAATAAGGTGCTGATATAGTAAAAAGGGAGTGTTTGCAATTGTTTGAGTAAGACCTGTGGCTCCTCTAGCAAGATGATGATGTAAAAATTGTAGAAATGAGGAATTTCAAATGTATAACCTAATGGGATTGCTGACAAGTTAGGAATTATCAAGGCAAACAAAATATAAATAAGGAACTAAAATCAAATTGGAGTTAAAGGGCTGTTTTATTAGAGAGGGGATAAGGTTGTTAATGGAAAAGAACTTGGGAAAGGAAAGAGGAATACAGGGGTGGAGAACAGTATTCCTGGGGCTATTTGGGGGAATGTGGTCAGGCAGCCCTCTGTCTGGTCAGTGCAGAGGAAGAGGATGATGAAGCAGTATATCCACACCCTGGAACAGCCTGTTTTTCCCCACTGGCTGTAGAGGAAGCCAAGACAATTAGCATAGACATAAACCAGCAAATCCATAGCTGAATAATATCATTTATGATGAATCAGTTGCCCATGGGTTGTTGGTAGGATTGTATCATGTACAGGCCAAGCTGGCACATCCCTTCTGAGTGTACCCAGGTGGTCACAGTGTGGGGGCACAAAGGCCTGTCATGACCACAGGATATAGATTTTAAAAAACTCTCTTTTTTCTTTATATGCACATCCACTTTCATGTTCTCACCATTTTCCCCTGTGACTGTTCAGTACCACGGTGTTACCTCAACAAGCAACTGGCGACAGTCCGGGTGGTGAAGGGGGAACCAGCTGAGCTGTCCTGCACTGTCAGCAAAGATGATGTGACAGGAACCTGGTTTAAAGATGGGCTAAAGGTGGGTATCTTTCCACTCATTGCTTTCTTTGGTTAGAAGTGCTCTGCTCTCTGGCTTTACTTCCTAAGTATCATGTCAAGGTGTCCCTTGCCATCTGCTGCAGCCTGACTGTGGCCCTGGAAGGATTCAAAGACTCACAGAATCCCAGAATGGTTTGGGTTGGAGGGGACTTCAAAGACCATCTTGTTCCCATCCCTCTGCCAGGGGCAGGGACACCTTCCAATAGACAAGGTTGCTCCAAGTCCCGTCCAACACTTATAGGGGTGGGACATCTCTTTCTTGATAGAAACCCAGAAAGATTTCTCCCCCTTCCCGCTACAAGGCATTCCCATTCTTGCTGACAAAAGGCAGCTTTGTGTTTTCCATTCTATGTCAGGGATGGAGATGATGTGGTCACTTCCTTACAATGCAACTCTTCTTCTTTTCCCGGATGAATGAGAGAGAAATGCCAAAACCAAGGGAAAAATCTTCAAAGGATCTTTCAGGCAGGGATAACATGAAGAGTCCTTGTTCAAATTAGTGCTGAAGGTCAAGCACAGACATCATACAGAATTATAGGGTTGATTAGGTTGGAAAAGACCTCTAAAATCATCAATTCGAACCTTGAACCCATCACCACCACCACCACCACACATCTATGTCCTATAGATATATTCTATATTCTTTGGAACATATGCTATGTTCCTAAAGAACACTGAAAAGTAATTTCAGCTATGGGATCCAGATGATATTGTAGGACTTCTGAGGTTTCATACTCAAGCATTGATCAAAAGTTTTGTCATTAAGAACAGAAAGAGAGAGCTTGGAGGTTGAACTAACATTTATTTTAATTGATCTTTGAAAAAAACCAAGGTCTTCGTGGGGAGTATGATGATAATGCTTATCTCAGTTTCAGTTTGGATTGCTTTTTTCCCCTTTTCTTCTCAAAGAATGGGTCTCTGTCCTTTACCTTGTAGTTGACAAGCATGCAAGGAGTCGTGTTTGAAAAGAAAGGTCTAGTCCACAAACTAATTATTAACAAAGCCGAAGATATTCATGCTGGGAAGTACAGGTTTGAAGGTGGAGATGTGAAAACTGAAGCTTCAATTTTTGTTGAAGGTGAGTCTATTCAAACCACCAATGCAGCACGTGAACCTTGATGGGCTTTAAATATCATATATTTTATCAGAGACCAGTAGTTGGTTATGGATAACTTTATTATAAAGAATTCCAAGATAACTGAGAGATGGGCTTTGTACAGGTTGGTGCATTTTGCATTCACAAATTTAACTAGGGAGCCTTCCCACATAGTTTCTATTGGTAACTCAAGTATTTTGGGGTGCACATAACACTTTATCAGAGCAGGTTCTTCATTCTTTGTGTTCAGTGTGTTGCTAATGAGAAACCTTCTCCAGTGGAAGGACAGTGTAATACCACAAAACCTTGTGATAACTATCCTGTAGCAAAGTACAAGTTTGTAAAACCCTGAGCATGAAACGAGCGAGGGTCCAAGTGTTATGACATTCTAAGAGTTACTGGCAGCATCCTGAGGGGAGCCTTTCCCTCCAAGCTTTGCCCCCTGTGGTTTTTAATGACTTTGTATTGGCTGATTAGACCCTCCACAGGTTGACAAAGTTCTCCTCAAAAACTTGACCAGTGTTCCCACGGTGGCCAAGGCTGGGCAGCCAGTGAAGCTCAGGATCCCCTTTGAGGGCCGTCTGCCCATCAGGGCCACGTGGCTCAAGGACAAGATGGAGCTGGCAGATGACACCAGGATCCGTGTGGATAAAACAGACACTCACACCACGCTGTCCATCCCCAGCTGTGAGAGGAAGGACCGTGGGGATTACAAGGTCAGGCTGAAGAATGACAGTGGAGTCCTGGAGATCAACTTAAAGCTCATGGTCATAGGTAAGAGCCCCATAAATCCACTGTTGAGCTTAGGCAGGGAACCCATTGACGCTGGTGACAATCTTATTTGGAGCTACAGGGTATTCCAAGAGGAACAACACTATATTTTTCCACTAAGTCAGGGTACAAGGAAAGATTCCTGACATGCTTCTTGCCCTTTAGTACAAGGCGGCACAAGTCTAGTTTGGTTTTTCACAGCCTCATCAGCTGAGTTTTGAACATTGGGAGACTGTGGGAGATGGAACTATGCTCAACATGCAAATCTGAAATGGGGTATCAAGGCCAAATTCGGCCCTACCATAAATGTCTGGGCCCTTTTGGGAGATCAGAAATTATGTTCTTCCTGTATCATCAAGCTGACTTGGCACAGTACTTATGGGAACAGTTGGCCCAGAGAGAGCAAGGGCCTGGCTGCCCCTTTCTATCAAAGTTAGAAGAGTGGAAATTTGGAAGAGGCAATTTCAGTGCCCAGCCCTCATTCTGCATCTGTGCAGACTGTTCCATCAGGGACAGTCTCCCAGCTTGTGAGCTGCTCCAAACCCAGGAGCACATCTGGGTCTGGACCCAATTCATCATCTCTCTGTCCATCTTTCCAGACAAGCCACAACCACCAGCAGGACCCATCAAAATTGTTGAGAGCTCTGCAAATGACATCACCATCCAGTGGCAGCCCCCAAAGGACGACGGGGGCAAACCAGTGCAAAGGTACATCGTGGAGAGGCTGCAGGTGGGCAAGAACAACTGGGAGACTTTGGGAGAAACCCCCAGGAGCTGCACCACCTTCACTACTAACAAAGTGGAAGAAGATACAAGCTACTACTTCAGGGTGAGAGCCGTGAATGTGGAGGGAACGAGTGATGCGCTGGAGTCGGGTGAAGTGAAGGCCATTGGTAAAGGTAAGGAGAACTTTTTATAGTTCATAATTCAGGTTGGGAAATCTATTATCAAAGCTGACATCAAAGAAAACTCACTGCATTTTTGATGTTGCTACAGAACTAAACTTGAATGGTCCCTGTGAAGCCTTCACACAAATCTGTGGAGGCTGCACAGCAAGACCAGCAGTTTGTTGTAGGCTCCGGTGATGCTGAGGTGGAGCTGCCTTCTTGGCAATGCTTCATTCTGAATTGGAAACCAATTCCAGAGGGCAAATGCAAAATGCATCCAGATCAAAGGAAAATTTTCCCAGTGTGGCTAGAAAGGGAACATGTGAGGCCTTTTCTCAACTTCATGGGCAAAGCAGTGTCTCTGTAGGTGCAGCATTTTTCAGCATGACCACTCCAATTCCCCTGATTTCCAAACAACTGAATGTGTTTTTTGTCCTTCAGTGAGTTCAAGTACTAGAACAGTTTAGCCATGAGCACAAATGCAGTACTAGAGAGAGCAATGCTATATTCTGGTTCTTTCTACATTGATTATGTATTTTGAAAGCTTTAGCAGAGTGTTAGAAAATCCATACTTGTACCAGTTTTTGTCATTAAAAGCAAGAATGATGCTGACTGTTCCTACTATATAAGAAGGACACACCTAGCTCTGTTGGCTGACAGTGGAATTGTCAGTCCTGATGACAGAAGGTCTTTTGTGAAATCAAAACTCAGGAACAAGGTCCATGCTGGGTCCAGGTTTTCAAAGCACATCCATGTGAATACCTTGGGGAAACTGAAGAAGAAATGACACAGAATGCTATTTTATCTTGCAATGAAAGTACACCTGCCAATAATGGAACCCTAATCTCTTTCTAGCTTCCCCTGGTGCCCCAGATCCCCCTGAGATCATCAGTGCCAGCAGGGACACCATCACAATATCCTGGAAAGCACCTCGTAAAACTGGCGCTTCCCAAATTGTGGGATATATAGTTCAGAAACGCAAGAAGGGCACCATGACCTGGCTGCCAGTCACCAATGGGCCTGTAAAAGGTGGGTATCCCGAATCCTGGAACAGTCTGGAAGACTTGACAAGGCAAAAAGTTCCTCTGGGTTCAGGAATGGCTTAGGATCTTACACCTTTTCACATTGGTGTTTTTCCTCTGGAATTCCTGAGCTGCTGACTGGCCCCATCACAGCCATTTTAGCCTGTCTGAAGTTTTACCTTCTATTTTTCTCAACTCCGGTGTGTACATTTTCTCACAACTCCATTTTTCTCCCAGCTAAGGTTTCATGGCTGTGCCACAGCAAAACCAGCTCTTGGTTTATATACAGCTAAGCCTGGGGGCAGGATTGTGGTCTTTTCTAGGTTGTGTGGAGGCACCTGGAGAAGAGCACAGAGAAGTTCATGCTGCATCCTGGGACGTAGCTCCTCCGATGTCTCCATTTTCTGGAACTAAAGCCTTTACTTCACATGCAGAACTACTGTCCTTAGTCCTACAGACAGGACTTTATAAATGCAAGGGATATAAAGAAACCCAAGTGATGTGTATGAGCTCCAGAGTGTGCTTTGACTATAGCAGCATCTTCTATTAGGGGTAAATCAGGAGTTCTCTGGTATAGAAGGGTTTAGGATCATCCCCTGAGGAAAAGAAGGATGAATCCTGTATCTCTAACTTATGAACTCTCAACAGCACTGCCGAGGCTGCACCCTGAGTGCTGTGCCTGGTTCTGCACCACTTAATTCAAGAAAGACATTGAGGGGCTGGAGCATACCCAGGGAAAAGAACAGAGCTGGGGAAGGGTCTGGAGCTGCTCAGGGAGCTGGAGGGGGCTCACCCTGGAGAAAAGGAGGCTCAGGGGGGACCTTCTGGCTCTCTGCAAGTCCCTGAGGAGGGAAAAACCAGGGCGGGAGGGTGGTGGTGGGGGGTGTCAGTCTCTGCTCCCAGGGAACAAGGGACAGGATAAGAGGAAACCTCAAACTGTGCCAGGGGAGGGTCAGGTTGGACATTGGAAGGAATTTCTTCCTGGAAAGGGTAGTCAGACCTTGGATGGGGCTGCCCAGAGGGGTGCTGGAGTCCCCATCCCTGAAAATGTCCAAGGAATGACTGGATGTGGCACTCAGTGCTCTGGGCTTAGTGACAAGGTGAGGATCGGGCACAGGGGGGACTCAGTCATCTCAGAGGTCTTTTCCACCCTAAATGATTCTGTGATTCTGCGATTCAAGTGCTGTTTGATTTTGAAGGGAATAAAATGAACACATCCCAGAAGTACACATGCACTTGGATAGGAAAGGGCAGGGGAATCAATGATAGCATTTATAGCTCCTGAGAATTATTCAGTACATAATTCTACCTGGAGTAAGGTACAGCATTGTTGTCTTCCCTCTCCTGCTGGGGAACAGCTCACCTGAGACAACACACTCCTTTCCTTCCTGCAGACAAGAAGCTGAAGGTGACCAACCTCAAGAAGGGTCTGCAGTATGAATTTCGGGTGGCAGCTGTCAATGCTGCTGGCACAGGAGATGCCAGTGACCCCTCACAGCCCGTCTTTGCCCGGGATCCCACGAGTAAGTGCTCTGTTCTTCTGGTTTTGGGGTAGCTGAATGTAGACTGGGGGTGTTGGTGGAGAGCAGATATTCTTAAATGTTCTGTAAAAGTGTGTGAAGACAAAGATCAAATAACTGGGGAATGTTTCATGATTGAGAATCAGCTTGAGGAAGGACTGGAAGCATTTCCTGTGGGATGTCCAAGGGAAGGTGTGGCAGACTCCCTGTGTGGGGTTATGTGTAGTGTGGAGAAGGACTTGGGATGGGCTGCAGACCGTATTGGGGGTGTTGTGGGTTGTACTGCGCGTCTGGCAGGAGCAAAGATCCACCTTTGAAGAACTGGGACAAGGCATGGGCAAGACAGCGGGGTGGATATCAAGTGCTCTCCAAGAATGCTGGGGAATCTCAGGAAGTGACTGAAAAGATGGAACAGAAATCCTAGAAAAAGTACTTTAAACAAAATTTCTTTTTTCAGAATCCCCAGGTCAAGTGCAGGAGCTCAAGGTGAGCAGCTGTGACAGCACCAGCATCACCCTGACGTGGAACAGACCTGAGGTCAAAGATGGGAACGAAGTGAAAGGTTACGAGGTGGAGGTGAGGCCTTCCCACAGCTCCAGCTGGACCAGATGCCTCACCCTTCCTGCAGAGGCCACCACGGGCACAGTCAAGGGCCTCCAGCCCAAGGAGAAATATTTCCTGCGTGTGAGGGCCCTCAACGACAGCGGCCCAGGAGAGGCCACAGAGCTCGAGGCCTTCATGGAGGCTGCTGCCCCTGTGGGTAAGTCCGTGGCTCCTTTCAGAGGCAACAGGAGCAGCAAGGGCTGTGGGACACTGGGATGAGCTTCTTTCATGTCCCAGACTAACAGAAGAATGATGAGTACTACACAGCTCCTCTGCACTCTGGTGTTATCTGGTCACATCACCAGAAAATTCTGAATATTTAACTGATATTAGATGTGCAGTGCACAGTGTTCAGCTCATATTAGAGACTCATCAGGATAAAAGGACCCCCAAAACTCTATTTTCTCTTTGCATTTATATTTTGCACCCTGTGCAGAACCCTACCACAGTCACCAGACAGAAACGTCACATCCCTTATCCCTACCCACCTCTTTCAGGGGATGTGATGGTTTGGACCTGGCTCCCTGCCAAATGCCCGAAAGTTATGACAGCAGCCCCCTTCCCCCCTCCCTTCTTCCCTTAGGGTAAAGAAAAAAAACTATAAGAATTTAAGAATTAAAGAACCCAAAGTCAAGCTGCTTATATAAAAATATATCTATATTTACGTAAATTACAGTTATATACAGTTAAGATGCTATATACACAGTAAAAGGGGATCCACTCCCCGAAGGGATAGGGAAAGGGAAAAAAAGGGACAAAAGGGAACAAAAGGGACACTGAACAGGTATACTAGATCAAACTCAAGAACTATACTAATAATTAACAAAACAGATCTCACCACGTCCCTTAGAACAGCAGGATCGGCAGTCACGGCCAGCACTCTCCAAACCCCCACGTGGTAGGACAGTGGACTCTGCAGGCCTCAGCCTTAGATAAGCGAGACCAACGCAGGGACCCACTGTTCCCAAACCTCGCCGGAAGAGAAGAGAGCGAGGTCTCTAATCTCTGACTTATTTATACTCTGGTTTATGTAAAAATCGTATGGAATACTGGGTACTTGGCCACTTCCTTGGTTACAAACTGGTCATCAGGAAGGTCTAGACCAAAACCATCACAGGGGAAAATATAGTTTTCAGTCTATTTTCATACAGTTTTGTGGAATAAGCATTTTATTTCATTCTCTTAAATCCCAATTTTTAGGTTGGTTTTTGGATACTTTATTTTACTTTTTAATTGTCTAGTTTGAAATTTTCTACCATTTCCACTTTTCCAGCTTGATTTACAATCGGTAGCTCTTGCTTTTTTTAACTGCTACTTGGGAATGTTGCAGAATTACAGAAGTAAGAGATAATTCCGTAAGGGATTCATCTTCCTTAATTTGGGGCCTAAGGGAAGTTGTCTACTTTTGAGCTATGCCTGGAGATTCCTTTTGTAATCAATCAGTACCTAAAATAAGTCCATCTGGGAAGCGGGTTTTTCAGTTTTGTAGTGGAAACACTAAATACAATTTACCACTACTGTATTTGGCATTTTTAAAAAAATACTAAATACATAGTATATTATATTGGTTAAAAAATAAATATATTTTGAATACTAAAAGAATATTATTTGAAATAAACTCTGGCTGGTTTCCTGTGGGATTTCTGTACTCTGTATTGCAAGTGTATTTTGTAAGTGTCCATTGGAATTTCCTTTTCTCCAGACACCATTTAAACACAAAAGATCCTCCCTGTGATGGGGTGAAGTGTGCCAAAGAGCCAATTTCTCTGTGATTGAGACATCTATGAGTACAGAGATTGTTGTGAATGTATTTTTATGTCATTTCCCCTTCTTTGCTCACAGTGATAAATAAATAGTCATGGAATTTGAAAGGTGTAAAGTCTGGGGGTGAATCAGGGAGCTTATTTTTCCATTTGAGTTCCTCACCAACCTCAGCTCTGCTGTGGGGAAGGCACTGGGGTATCCAGCACCTGGGACTGTCACCAATGTACAACTATTCAGTGTAATCCCTGTGTTTTCCAGTTCCTCCCAGATTACTGATCGATGACACAGTGAAAAACCTCCTGGTTATAAAAGCAGGAAACACTATCCGGGTGAATATTCCCTTTGAGGTACGTATTCCATGGGTTTGTAGAATTTCCTGCCTGTTTCTATGCTGTAAGTCAGTAGTAGACATGAAAACTGAGCCACTGTTTTCTTGCTGTGCTCTTTAGTTTACAAGACACTGGGCAAATCCTTTGGCTGCCTGTGCTGTGTGTACTTTCTGGGTGAGGAAAACAGCAGAATTCAGCTGTCACTTGATGGCATCAGTGTATTACGAGGTTATACCTCTGCTAACAAAGCTGTCCATCCAACCTTATCAACATTAGCATCATCTGCCACTGCTCTGGCAGACTTAAAAAAATCATTAATTTTTATAATATATATTTATATTTACTGTTTATATTAGATACTATATTTATACAATAGAATAAATTATATGCATTTTTAGTATATAAAATTATATAAAAATAATCTTATAAAATATAAATATGAATTAAACAATATATATATTGTATAAATAAAAAGACAATAAAAATTTAAAAATTTCCCTCTGACTCCCTCAAAAGGGCCTGGGGTTGCTTTTCTAGTAACACCTTGCTGACTGTGTTTGTCTCACTAAGCAGCAGAATTTAAGCTCTATGGCTTGAGAAACAGGCAGGCACTGACAGAAATCCGGGGGGCTTTGGAATCAGCTTGGATCAAGAAAGGTTTTTATTCACAGAAAGGGTGATCAGGCATTGGAAGCAGCTGCCCCCAGAGGTGAGTCCCCATCTCTGGACGTGGCACTCCGTGCTCTGGGCTGGGATCAGTCACAGGCTGGATTTGATGATCTCAGAGGTCTTTTCCAACCTTAACAATCCTGTGATTCTCTAAAGTCTGGGATATCAAGAGGAGGTGGATGAAGACCAAGTGTGATATTTGCTGACCTTTCTCCTGATCTCTGGGAGAACTGAGACCAAAGATGGCACAAGGGAAGTAAAGACCTTGAGGATGCTTTTTCTTTCCCAACCCAATAGATCTTTTTTAAAAAGTAGAAAGTATTAAATCCTGATGGCATCTGTTCTTGATCCAGAATACTTTGCCATAGTTTTGAACACTTTACTGCAAAAACATCCTTAAAGACACTGAGAAAGAAAACAGTTACAAAGAAAGTTCAGAGCACATTAGGGCTCTTAGATCCATCTTGGCTCCATATTTCTAGATATGACTTCACTGTGTCGTTCAGGCACATATTTGGGACGAGAAATAATGAAACTACAGATGTCAGGACACAATCTGGAGGTGAAACAAGAGGTCTGTGACTCATGTTGTTCTTTCCAGGGATCTCCAGAGCCGGTGGTGATCTGGTTAAAGGATGGGCTCCCTCTTCCCAACCGGGCTGCCATAAAAACGGAGGACGGAACCACTCAGCTGCTGATCGGGGCAGCTGAGCTCGGCGACAGCGGCACCTACAGCGTGGAGCTGCAGAACGGGCTGGGCAAGAGACAGACTTTCAGCTTCCAGGTCCAAATTACAGGTAACTCACTGCCATCCGTGTGTACCAGCCACTCCCAGTGTCAATCCAGGCTGTGTGGGATGAAGGGATTGAGAGCAGCCCTGAGGGGAAGGACTTTGGGTGTTGGTGGGGGAGAGGCTGGACATGACCCAGCCCAGAAACCTGCCCTGGGCTGATCTCACAGTGCGTGCAGCTGAGGGAGGGGATTCTGTCCCTCTGCCCCCCTCAGGTGAGACCCCACCTGCAGAGCTGCCTCCAGCTCTGGGGGGCCCCTCTAGACCTGCTGGAGTGAGTCCTGAGGAGACCACAGAGATGTTCCAAGGGCTGGAGCCTCTCTGCTCTGGAGCCAGGCTAGGAGAGCTGGGGGTGTTCACCTGGAGAAGAGAAAGCTCCAGGGAGACCTTGGAGCCCCTTCCAGTGGCTAAAGGGGCTCCAGGAGAGCTGGAGAGGGACTTGGGACAAGGGATGGAGGGACAGGACAAGGGGGAATGGCTTCACATTGACAGAGAGCAGAATTAGATGGGATATTGGGAAGAAATTCTTCCCTGTAGGGGTGGTGAGACCTTGGCAGGGGTTGCCCAGAGCAGCTGTGGCTGCCCCATCCCTGGAAGTGTTCAGGGCCAGGTTGGAGCAACCTGGTCTAGTGGAAGGTGTCCCTGCCTATGAGAGAAGCTTTAAAGTCCCTTCAACCCAAACCAGTCTGTGATTCTGTGATTTACTAATAGGCAGCAGGCAACAAGCTGAGTTTGGCAGGGTGAGCTGTGATGCAGTTTGGCCATTCAGGCACAGGGAGAACAGGGTACAGTTTTCCATGGGATTCAATCTGGGCACTTCATGATATCACTTTTCTGCAGGACAGAGCAATCCACTAATTAAAGCTGTACTTCCAGAGTGACTCTGCTGAAAAGGGCCAGTCCAGGTCCCACAAACAGACACTGCAAACCCCAGGAGCAGTTCATGCTCTCTGGAAGAGCCTGAGGGGAGTCAGCACAGGCTGTAGGACACTGAGTCCCAGCTGGAACAGCTGCAGATGTTCTGCAACAGCAGCTCAGTTCGTAGCAAAAGTGTTTGTGTGGCTGGAGAAGGAATCAAATTTGCCCCTTACAATGATCAGGATCTTTACTGAGCCCCCATGGGATACACTCCAAGTTTTTAGGGTTCTGTACTGTGCCACTGTCTCTACACCTGTGACATTATTTGCCCTCAACTCACAGACATCCCGCAGCCTCCTGGACCACTTAGGTTGGAAGAGAATGTACCCAACACAGTGACGGTGACCTGGGAACCATCAACATCCGAGAAGTGGGAAAAGAACCTCTACTACACCGTCCTAAAACGGGAATCTGAGAAGGGTGTGTGGCATGTGGTGGGGGACCTGCTCTATAACAACAAGTTCACGTTCACCAGTGTGATCCCAGGCAGAGATTATTACTTTAGAGTGGTGGCAAAGAACAGCCTGGGAGCCAGTGTTCCATCTGAAACTATGCAGCCTTGGAGGATTCGAAAAACAAAGGGTAAACCAGTTTTTTCAGCTATTTCTCTGTGTGTGTTGTTATGCTTTGTTTCTTTTATTGTTTCTAACACCCCATACTGAAGTAGTTCTCTCCTCCTAGGAATGTTTAGTTGCCCAGAACAAGAATGCCTAGAGATATTCCAGTTTTGTCCTTTCCGCAGGGACATCGTGCAGAGAGTTCCTTCATTCCCAGCCCTTATATTGTGCAATTTGCCACAAAATGAATTCCTGGAAAAATCTATTAAGTTTTGCAGAAACCAAAGTTTCTGGCTCCAAAGTTAAATCCAGGGTAATGTGAGAAGTTGCACAGGTTACAATCCGTGGGTGCACAGGATCTCTGGGAATTACAGTGCAGAATTTCACTCTTCACAGCCAAGTGTCTGACTGAAAACCAGCCCTGCAAACTTCACTGCTGGGAGCTGGATCTGAGGGTCTGTTTGTGTTTTGCTGTTTGTTTTTTACAGCTGAAATCCGAGTCATACCCCAGAAATACAGAGGAGTCAATCAAAACCAGCACCCGAGATTCCTTGTCCCGCTGAAGCCCCACGTGGTGGTGACAGGGAGTGAGTGTCACATGAGCTGTGCAGTTGGGGGCCACCCACCCCCAAAAATCACCTGGTACAAAGACAGTAGAGACCTCTCCAATGATCCAAACTATTTCTGCACAAACGACTTTGGAGTCTGTTCTCTGGTTATCATGGGGGTCACCAAACAGGATGCAGGAGAATATAGGGTGGAAGCCTCCAATGAAGTGGGCTGTGTCTCCAGCAGAGCCTTCCTCGCCATCAAAGGTAAAATCTGCAGTGCTCTTCCTTCCCTGGGGGATGCCACGGTGTGTAATTGCTGCCAAGGGCCTCAGAAATGGTCTCATGCAGTTCTACCTGCTGACAAGTGCAGTCTCGTACTTTATTTCACTTCTGATTATCTTTTTTTAGTGATCAAATATGGAACAGAACTAGAAATCAAAAGACAGATGTGAAAAAAACCACTCGGTTTCTACATGAGACAGAGGTTTAGTTTGACTCTGATAAAATTTTTTGGAAAGAAAATCCCATTTTCATTGGATAAGATAATATCTCACTTGGGTTTATCTCCAGTGCAGGAGCTGCAGAATAAAGATCCTGCAGATGTGCAAGTTGAGGTGGAGCAGCAAGGGAACAGTGAAGGTTTGGTGGCCAATGGGAAGGGAGGAAAGAGAGGGATGTGGTGAGGGCCACTGAGATCCTGATGTGAATGGAGAAGAAGTGGGATTGACTAAGGATGGATAAACTTATGCCTAAATATTGCTGGTGCTTGTACTCAGTGAAATATCCTTTACTTTGAGTCAAATATTTTCCTTTTAATGCAAAACACTGCAATGGGATTACAGTAGTGGAGAAATGGGTCAGTTAAAATCCCAGATTTCACAGAATATTCTCAGTTGGAAGGGACCCATAAGGACCATCCCTGTCATCCTTTTGCAGACACTGGTCTTTTTGGCCCTGTAAATTTTCAGCTCCCCCTTTCCAGGGGGCCTTTCAGACTATTTATCATCTCCTGCATTACAATACTGAGCCAACTCTCTTTCTCTTATTTTCAGACTCCACCCTGTAACTTGACCCTCCTGACAACATCCCTGCACTGTTCTGTGAATGAGAAGGTTTTAGTGAGGACAGGTCCATACTAAACCTGTGCATTTATTTTCAGATGTTCATTTTAGCCTGAGGGGTTCATTTTTCACATGCAGTAATTGCATTTTGAACACGATGCTGCATTTTAGTCAAAATCAGGGGGAAAATGCTTGAAGAAAATTGTATTTTTGTAATGATCACGGCTTTCCACTAGACCTTTAAAACACACATTAGAAGCTTTGCGAACACAGAAGATGAGAGGAAAAGTAGTTGGCCAAAATGAAACTTTCCATGGAGAGCACAGGCAGGAGAGACCATCCCACCACACCCCTCACCTGCTGTCAGGTTGCAACAGGGATATTTCTGGCCACCAGAGATCTCTGAGGTTGGCCTTTCCCATGTGGTTTTCTAAGCCAAAACAATCCCTTTGGATTCCACTGGATTCTCAGCAGGTTTCCTAATCCTGGGAGAAACAGTTCTGCATGTATTGCACTACCAGTAGCAGCTAAGTAAGTTATTTTCCTTAACCTCTAAGTTAAAAGGAATGTCTGCCTGCTCATTTTAATCTGGGTAAGAGATGAATTCTCAGACCAGCCTGGCATGGAATAAGTGGCACTCAGTGAAAATGCCCTGCTGGGAAGGACTGTAAATCTGCCACCAGTTGTATCAGTGTGAGCAGAGCAGCCCTACAGCAAGTGCTGTAAGAAAGGCTGTGTCAGTCCTGAACTGCCTCACCAGTGTCACCTTTGCATCCTCACTGCCCCTGTCTTGTGGCACTGCTGGAACGGTTCTGCCTGACACAAAAAGACGTTAAAAACCTTTCATGTCTGATCAGAAATAAGAGGTACCAGCAGAGATTTCCTGCCATGGCAGGGGAATTCCACCACTGAGAGGAGGAGACTGGAAAGCAAAATGTTCTGGTGAGTGTAGGAAGGTATCACAGCCTGAGCACCAAAGGTACTTCTGTGACAGCATCCAGAAGACAGGAGAGAATACATTGAAGACTCCAATTCCCTGCATCCTCAGACAACCAAACCCTTCCGTGCAGCTGAAATGTTCCTTTTTGGTTACGTTTTGTACAACGTTGTACAGACAAGCTGAAATTAAACCATAATTCAGTAAATCTACCATGAGTAGGTATTTCTTTTGGAGGGGGCAGCCCAGCCAGCTCTTGAGTGTTAGCCCCTGTCTGCTGCAGTTTTCACATATAATGGCTTTATTCAAAGAAATAAAACTCAACAGCTTGATACTGTTAAGACCTGTAGTGTTGGGAATAGCTCTTCCATAAACACTCCACTGAAACAAGGATTTTGTGAGTTTTAACATCTCAAGCTCCTCCTTGACAGTGTGGGTAAGGGTTTCAAAGTTACAAAATTTAAGGAGTTGTGGTAAGCTGACCTTGGTTGGATGCCAGGTGCCCACCCAGCCACCCTATCACTTCCCTTGTCAGCCAGACAGGGGAGAGAGTAGGGCGGAAAAAACAACTTGTGGGTTGGGATAAGGCAGTTGATTTAAAGCAAAAAGTAAAGTGGAAGCTTGTGCACAAAGAGCGAAGTGCAAGATAACACCATTTATTCTCTACTTCCCGTGAGCAGCGATGGTTGGCCACTTCTGGGAAGCAGGGCTTCAGTACGCGGGATGGTTTCTCAGCAGGCGGCCATTGGAGACAATGTACACCTGCCTTCTTGATCCTTGCCTCAGCTTTTATACCTAAGCTGATGTCAGATGGTATGGAATATCCCTTTGGTCACTTTGGGTCAGCTGACCTGGCTGTGTCCCCTCGTAGGATCTTTCCATCAACTGAGGAAGGAACGTTACAGTGCTGATCAACACCCTTCTAGCTACCAATGCAAAGCACAACACTGTGAGAACTACTGTGGGGAAATAAACTCCAGCTCAGCCAGACACAATACACCCACAACCCAAAGGTTACAGGCTTGCTTTCCTGGGGGAAAGGGCCGTTGTTTGCTTTTAGGAGCCCTGCAATGAAATTGCGTGTATGACACTCAAAACTGAATATGGACGAAGATTCCTTCCAGACAGAAGGTGCCAGGACAGAAGGATCTAGCTCCCTATAGAGTACCCAGGGTGGCCCACCAACTGCACCTAAGAGCCAAAAATTACAGGCTTTCTTTCCTGGGGGAAAGGGCTGTGGTTCATTTTCAAAGCCCTGCTCTGAAATTGCCAGTCTGACTCCCCAAACTGAATACTGACTGAGATGCCTCCCAGACAAAAGGGGGCAGGACAGGAAGCTCTTGCTGGCAATGGAGTGCCCAGGGTGGCCCACCAATTGCACCTGAAACCCAAAGGATACAGTCTGTCTTTCGTGGGGGAAAGGGCTGTCGTTTGCTTTTAGGAGCTCTGCAATGAAATTGACTGTACGACTCCCAAAATTCAATATGGAAGAAGAAGTTTCCTCCCAGACAAAAGATGCCTGCACAGAAAGCTCTTGCTGGCCATGTTGTGCCCAGGTTGGTCCACAAACTGCACCTAACATCCAAAGATTACAGGCTTTCTTTCCTGGGGAAAAGGGCTGTCATGAGCTTTCGGGGTGCTGAAATTGCCAGTTCAACTCCCAAATTTAAATATAGACAGATTTCTCCCAGACAGAAGGTGTCAAGACAGAAAACTCTTGCTGCCCATGTAGATCCCAGGCCCACCAACTGCACCTGAAAGTCAAAGGTTACAGGCTTTCTTTCCTGAGGAAAGGTCTGTGTCTCAGTTTAATGAGGGAGAAAAGTGCTTTTTTTGCTTACAGGAACCTTGCGCTGAAAGTGGAAGTCTGACTCCCAAAATTCCATACAGATGGAGATTCCTCCCAGACCAAAGGTGCCCCAACAGAAAGCTCTCCCTGCACATGGAGTCCCTAGGGTGGCCCACCAAGTGCACCTGAAACCCTGAAACCCAGACTTTCTTTCCTGGGGGAAAGGTCTGTCATTCGCTTTTTGGAGGCCTGCGCTGAAAGTGCCAGTCCGACTCCCAAAATTCAATACAGATTAAGATTTCTCCCAGAGGAGAAGTGCCACAAGAGAAAGTTCTCACTCTCCATGGAGTGCCCAGGGTGTCCCACCCATTGGTCCTATCACCCAGTGGTTACGGGCTTTCTTTCCTGGGTTAAGAGCTGTTGTTCACTTTCAGGTGCCCTGTGCTGAAACTGGCTGTCTGACTCCCAGCATTCAATACAAAGATTCCTCCCAGACCAAAGGTGCGAGGACAGAAAGGGCTTTCTGCCCATGGAGTGCCCAGGGTGGTCCACAAAGTGCACCTATCACCCAAAGGTTACAGGCTTTCTTTTATGGGGGAAAGGGGTGTTGTTCACTTTTAGGAGCCCTGGGCTTGAATTTGCCAGTCCAACTCCTAAAATTCAATATGGATAAAGATTCCTCCCAGACAGAAGGTGCCAACACAGAAAGCTCTTGCTGCCCATGGAGCGCCCAGGATGGCCCACCAACTGCCCCTAACACCCAAAGGTTACAGGGTTTCGTTCCTGGAGGAAAGGGCTGTTGTTCACTTTTTGAAAGCCTGCACTTATATTGCTACTCCAACTCCCAAAACTGAATATGGACGAAGATTCCTGCCAGGAAGAGGGTGTCAGGATAGAAAGCTCTTTCTTCTTGGGCAGAACAGGGCGTGAGGGAATGGAGGCGAGCCAGGGCCAAAGGCAGTTAAATGACTTGGTCAAAACCAAAATGAACCCTGGAGCTCTTTGTCTTTACACAGCCCTCACTGAGTCCACACAAAAGTCCTGTACCCTCCCAGAGAAAAACAAACCCATGTCCTCCACAGATTTCCAAAGCAATTAGTCTGGAATGTGCAGCCTCAACCAGCCCCTTCTGTGTATGTGGCTTTGCTCAGTCCATCCCTTCCCCCCTCCCTTGCTCAAAACTTTTCGTTCCCAAAGGTAAAGAGAAAAAACTCAAAGCAGGGGCATTTTTTCTTTGACACAAGAAATGTGT